ATCCGTCTTGTATTTTTCCTGGCGTTGCTTCTGTCTTGGTAAGAAAATATGAAATACTCAAATCTTTGAATCTTTGGGAGCGAAGGCTTTTTGTCGGCATTTTTGGAGTAAAGGTTAGCAGTCGAGCGTGGGAAGCATCTGACATTATTGCGGTAGCCAAGCAACTCAAAAAGGCAAGCTCGAAGTCATCACCCTAATTCCTGAGTTTGACTCGAACTTATTCATTTTAAACAAGACTACCCTATCACTTTTTCTGTGATAAGATACCTGCCAGTACTGTTAACAAGAGGGCTCGCTCAGCTCCTGGCTTCTTGAAAGAAGTGGTCACGGAAATAGCTATGGAGGCGATAGGGAAAGGACACAGTGGATTGGGTAGGGATCCTGCCCAATAACCCGGCATACGCTTCAGGGCCAGTGGGGCCTTATGTAACGGCGTGAATAAGCGCGAAAGCCACTTCCTGTCGCGTTAGCACCTCCGTATCAGACGTGGATATAGAGATGGCAGTAGAATCCTATGTCATGCGGATTGGTCTGCTCGTCAACCACTTATTTCTGAAACGCGGAGTTCGCAATCCACGTTGCGAAACCAGCTGATCGCTTCCTTTAGTCGAGTTTCTTTAGGACAGGAAGACTAAAAGGAAGTGAAAGCTGTGTGAAAATGTAAAAGAAACGATTCATCAAGAAAATCAAGTAGCAGCCGAGAATAAAAAACCATATCGATGTTCTTTTTCATATAAACATGCAACGAGCGAACTGGGCAAAAGACAGAATTCTCCAATCAAATCAAAATTTCTGATGTGCCTCTTAACAAAATATGCGAGATAGCATTGATAAAATAGCCCCTTCTTATTCCTGCATTTTTGTGCACCATTGGGTGCAGAAAGGTGAATAAAGATGAAATAATTATGCCAATACAATCCGTAGGCGGAGGCAATTGAAAGCGGTCGGCACTTGCAGGCGATCTTATGAAACAACCCGTTGTACACGATAGCAGTTGGGCCAATTCAATTTAGCTGCAAGTTTGTAATTCGTCAGAGCCGGTTATTCAGCAATTTAACTGTCTTTGAAGATTATGTCACAGCCTTTTGCTTTGAGTGATCCCCTCAAGTCGTTCCATAGATCAAATACTCGTTCAATAAATATTCCTAAAATTTTCAATTAAGTAGGATCGGTGGCGCATCCCAAAAAGTCTGATCAGCGCCGATCACTTTTTCCTTAGTCAATATGACAATGCTAGTAGGAATATCAGAAGCAAATGCAGGAATGTACAATAAAAGTAATAATGTAAGTCAAAATAAAATTCAAATGTTTTATTAGGGTACCTTCAAAAATGTTTGATTTTTATTTTATAATATTACATTTTTTGTTAGGAGTAATTCCAGCGCTAGAGTTAGGCGAATGCGGAGATGCTTTGGATGATAGATATAATCGAAAAACTTGAACCAGAAAAATAACAACGCATTCACTGCAATTGCGTGAGATTTCAAGCCATTCAATGAGCCACTTATGGTTCTCGTCCTCATTTCGTGGCCCACTGAAGCGCTTATATGTCGGCAGTGGTTGCCATAAGGGCAAGGCCAGACACGTAGCAAATAGCCAGCCGAGAATTTCACATATATGTACGAAGGGACGGAACGTGAGCTAATTTTCAATTTACTAATTTTGAATTTTTCTGAAATTGATTTGATGATTAATTAGTTGGCCATCCCATCCTTCCACCTATTTCGTAACGAAGGATGCCACGTTTGGTGCATTACTATCCAAACTAGGCGTGATAGTCTTGGAAACATCTAAGATTTCAACGATTTGCAAGGAATTGAACTCACCAAGGAGCGAAATGGGAGAAGCTGTTTGCAGCTGCGCTATGAACACTTGTTCGAATGAACATCTCTCTCACTGTAACTACCAAAAAAGAATGTGTGTGAATTTAACCCATTCGCGACCGCGCGGGATTGCGCAATAGCAGAGAGTCAGGAGATTTTTCTTCAATAAAATTTGAGTGGATGGAGATTTCCTCTGCCCAGGGCTGGCGTAGATGAATGAGGGTATGAAGATTCTTTTCATGGAAGAAAACTTTCCAAATTCCATTTGAAACCCGGCAGCCAACGGTGGATGCCATTGCCCGAGTGAGATCTTTGGCAGCCACCGGTGGCTGCCATTGTCACGAATGGGTTAAGTAAATTTCATCAAAGTAATGGAAGACCTCGGCTGGAGGTAGACTTTCGATAGCATATGTACATCATGCTTCTCGGGGTAGGAAATGATAATAATAGGAACTATTCTGGCCTAAAAAGGTAAGCAGTGTAAAGATCAAGTCGAGCCACTTGTCAACCGAAAATTCTCAAATTGAATTACTACTTTAAAATTTCCAAATATGGATTTCTTAACCCGCATTTAGTACTTCTTTCGCCACATTCCATAGAATCTTTTTCGAATGATGCTGTCCTATACAGCCAAGTGTGAGGCGAGCTTCCATTTTAATACCACCCAAGGATTAACCGCGAAGGGCTTATGTTTTGCTCTGCTTTTTGTCGTTGGAAACATTTAGGATTCAATTTCTAAGACGTTCAACGATCTGCTCGCCGAGTAGTGGGAGGGCATTTCAGAAATGTAGGAGAGTTTAAACCTTGATTTCCTGGGAAGGGACCGAAACAGACAAAAAAGGTGATTAGAAAACCCCATTATACACTTTTTTGATGTTTAAATCCGCTCCTCAGTTTGAAAGCCACTATTTTTCGACTTCACGACTCAATTTGAATAGAAACTGTGGTTGAGTGCTAGCAACCTAGACTTGTTAAATCTTAAGATCTTCTTTGGAATTGATATTATTGACATATGCGTTGATATCTACATACGTCCTGCTGGCATCTATTCATTTTCCTGGAGCTCAAAAGTGTTCTGTCCCGTAGGTTCGTACAGTGCTCGCAAAGCAGACAAGATAGGCCCAAAATTTAGGACGTTACCCAATGGTTCCTTCAGCATTCTTTACTTGGTAAAGCCCTCCAGTATCAGTTGTTTCATCGATGTAAACCTTCGTGTGGCCTACGCCCTCCTACGGTGTATACTACGAATTCAGACTTTTGGGAAAAAAAAGCCAGTCTTTGGCCGAAGTGGGGTGATGAGACATGTTTCCGAACTATTGCCAATTACATACATCGGAATTTCTGCTGTGCAACGGTAAAAAGGTGTTGAATTTGCTCCTGGTTCCTCTGAAATCAACGCATTGAAGCGTTGTACGTTTCAAAAAGTGAAGAGAAAGTGTTGGATGTTTTAGAACGCGTTGGGGCACATTGAAAACAGAAAATACATCATCAGTGCTTGAGCTGTACGTTTAATCCAGCGAATCGTTAAGACCGACGTCATAGTCGGCGACGGACCAAGCGATGGAGCGATCGCGATCGCTCCATCGCTTGTCCGTCGCTTGCCAATCGCTCTCGGTCGAGCGATTGGCAAGCGATTGCGCAATGTGCACAAGCGACGGGCGATTGGCCCCGCCCCCAGTCAATGCAGTCGGCTGCGGTATCGATCGAGCAGAGCCATTGCCCGTCGCTTGTGCACTTTGCAAGCGATTGCGCAATCGCTTGCCAATCGCTCGACCAAGAGCGATTGGCAAGCGACGGACAAGCGATGGAGCGATCGCGATCGCTCCATCGCTTGTCCGTCGCCGACTATGACGTCGGTCTTAGCGGTAGTGCCGCTCATGAAAAGAAGGTTGTTTGCGGCATTCATCTGGATACCTTTCTTAGTGCGTGAAGAGTATGTCACATTCGAAAACGTTACTTTGGTCGACGTTTCGGGCCAGATTTCGTTACTTCGAAGGCTTCCACCGAGGCCTACAGGATTTCAAGAAATGCCTTCTGAACCGTCAAATGGAGATTCCGCCCAAAATCTTTATGACACAAGAAAACATTAAGATAACCATTGTCGAGGTTCGTGAAGAAAGGGAGTTGACTTTCGAACTGTCGAGGTGTTTTTCCTGTGTTTGTTGAAGGAGCCTGTGTTCCACCGAGAAGAACTAAGGCCAATAGAAGGGGAAAATTGCGTAGTTGGGAGACAGGCGGACCTCCTGAAGGTGCTCAACGACATGCAGCGAAAGATTTGACCTCAGCGATCTAGCATGGCTCACTCTTGGCGCGGTTGGCGGGGTACGCCCACCGACCATCTAATCACTCGCCGCAGGTCTATACGTGGCGAGTGATTAGATAGCAGAGAGAGCGTAGTGTTGAAGAGGGCACAGCGATGAGAGTCGCATCAATGCGCAAATCAACGGGCAAGGAAGGGTCCCATTTCTCGGTTTCGGGCCGTTTCTTATGGTTTCTTCTTTATCCCAGCTTCACTGACCACTCTACTCTTACTTCCAATGAGCTAACTTTTCATCGTAAATTCTGCTTCAAAAAGTTATAGGCGGCCTGTTTTAGGAAACGCTATCGTTTCCGAGTAAGAGGACGTTGTGGTCCTCGTGTCAACCTTGCGATTCATCCCATAACTGCAAAGGAAAAATCATTCCAAATTCCCTGTGATGTTGTGTGTTTTCTCTAAAAGGTCTTCTTTTAGAGTTGCGAAGAAGTGCTGAGACTCGGAGTTCGCACAGGACATCCTCGATTTTTTAATCAGGTACGATCAAATTCAGTGTTCAGTACGCAAAAGACACCGAAAGCAAACACTGGTGCCGTTCTAGGAATGCTACCAAAAAAATGGTTTTGTGGGAAAATCCAAACATGAAAAATTTGAAAACTGTGTCTCGATTCTCACCGGCTGAAGCTTTATGATTTCGGAACAAAGAAAAAAATCGTTTTGACTAAGCGCGCATTTTTTGCACCAATTTTGCAAGCACGGTAGCCGTGGTCCAGCTTCGGATCACAGCTTCCCACGCAGCTTGCCAAGTGTGATCCGTAATTGGACCACGCTGTCGTTGATGGGCTAAAGCAAAGCTTGGTTCAGGCTCTCAATTGGTTTTTGAACTTCATTTTCAGATCTCATGCGGCTTGGATTTGGTGTCGATGGCCGGCGAATGGCTCACGGCAACTGCAAACACGAACATGTAAGCAAGTTCGCTGAAAGATCATCTTTTGTGTTCTGAGCTATGTCATAAAACCAACAACTAATTTTTTCATAAATTATGGAAAAAATATCAAAGGTTCACGTATGAAATCGCGCCGGTGTTTATCCTGATGGAAAAGGCCGTGATGAAACGAATGTGGGAGGCGATTGGTTGGGATGTCGATCAAGCGGACGGCATTTTTGCTCCAGGTCAATCTTGGTGCTCTAATCCATATTTGGCCAGAATTTAATCAATAAATCGATTTAGGTGGTGCAATCGCAAATCTGTATGCAGTGAGTACAGCCAGACATGCACTGTATCCTCGTAGTAAATATGTCGGCCTGAAAGATGTGCCAACACTCTGCATTTTCACCAGTGAAGATGTCAGTGATCTGTTACTTGAGATACTTTGTTATTATCGATCAGTTCCATTTGGAGAAGTGCCAAATTCAGAGTCACTATTCGATCAAGAGCGCAGCGGCTGTGTGCGGTATCGGCAGTGACTTCTGTTTCAATATTCCCACCGATAACGCTGGGAAAATGATCCCCGAAGCGTTGGAACAGAAAATTATCGAAAGCAAGAAGGACGGTTAGTTTAAAAAAAAGAACAAAAAAAACAATAAAAAAAGGAAAAAATGAAGCGCATTTCAAAATCAAGTTATAATATGGTTATGTCGCTCGAAAGTGAAAGAATAGGCGCGAACTGGTCCTATACTGAAGAAAAGGAAAAGTACCACCGAAAAGCCTGAGATAGAGGCTCTTCTCTAGGGTGTACAGGGCTCCGAAGAGATAAACAACGAGCTAAGAGATATTGAGCGGGAGAGAGAAAAGAGTCGTTGATGAGAGAGTATGGATAAGAGCGAGAGCGAATGTCAATTCGTGTGCGAAAGGTGCAGAGAGGAACCGCGTATGCTACCTTTGCGTGGCAATTACGTGCCACGAGGTCGGTACGGCCTGTACACTTGCCGACCCTCGACCCTTCTCGCTCTACGTGGAACTCCACTGCACTGATCCCTGGGTCTACCTTCAAGAAGCGAGAGGTAGGGGAAAGGGGGCTTGAGAGGTGAAAAGATTCCATAGAACGGTCGCATAAAAAAACCCGATTTGGGAGTTTCCACTAGGCTCTCGGTGGGTTTTTTTGCATTCATCCTTTAAGTATCATGGGTATTCAGAATAACCCATCCAATCAATGCATAATTTCAAGCGTTGATTATTGATTATCAACAAATCGATAAAGTTGGTCGTTAAGGACTGACACCAATGTTCGTGTGCTGCACAGCTGGCACGACCGTCTACGGTGCATGGGATCCGATCGACAAGATAGCTGATATCTGCGAACGTCACAAAATTTGGTTGCATGTCGATGTGAGTCAGGCCATTTTTGGCCATCAGATCTAGCAGTACGTTTACCCTTTACTTTTAATACCTGACAGTACTACTTTAGGCGGCGTGGGGCGGTGGTGTGCTGCTGTCGCCGGAGCACCGCTACAAATTGGCAGGTATCGAACGAGCGAACAGTGTCACGTGGAATCCGCACAAGTTAATGGGAGCCCTATTGCAGTGCTCGGCATGTCTGTTCAGACAGGATGTGAGTTCGTCAACTAGGTTGAATATCTACGTCAATATATTGATTAAGTAGTATTTATTTAAGTCGTTTTTTACACTGAAGTAATCACCTCATGCGTTACGTTTTTTCTCGAATTCAAAAGTTTTTTTGAAATGTTAAAATGGAACAACTTCAGTTGAGTTTTCTAGGCGTTGTTCCAGGACACGGGCCACTTGTTGCCGTTAAATGTCATCCTACGCTCCGCGCTATAGCCCACTTCAATTTCAAGTGAAACGCTTTTGGAGCACCGATTCAATCTCCATATCAATTTTCATGCACAGTAGTGAAAAGAAATAGAAGGAGTTCAGTTAAAGGAAAGAAAGGAGAACAGTTGAAGGCACATTCGCGATTTCCTAAAGGAATCGTCCACGGAAATACTTTGCCTACAGTGCTGACAAGCTATGGTACGTATACCATGAAAAGCTGAGTTGGGATGAAATGGTGCCCCGGTAGCGTAACTGGTAGCGCACTTGCCCGGAAAGCGAGAGGTGCGGGTTCTAGTCCCGCCTGGGGCGAAAGTTTTGTTCACAACCCAGCATTCTTGTGAAACTTGCCTTACATTGCTCACCAGAAATTGATAAGCTTAGCCCACTTTCCTCACGAGGATAGCAAAAAACGAAAAAAAGTGTTGTTCTGGTAAAAATATAAATTTAGACAGCCAACTAGGCGACAAAGACGTTGAATTCCCGCCGTAAACTGTCACAAGTGTTGGTGTTGAGAAGTCAACACATACACATGTATGGTTTGAATAAAGGTGAATTGGTTGGCTGGCTTGTTGGTTCCACTATGTTGAACCTTTCCAGGAACTTACTAAAAGGTTTCCGCACCTATGCATTCGCTTCCTAAAAATCAACTTACGTCCGCCCGATCGCGCCAGATGCCCTAACGTAAGGGAATCATGACATTTTTCCGTGGACGATTCCTTTAAAGGAGGAATTCACGATTAGAATGAAGGTCGAAGAAAGGGAAACTGACCTAGTTGAGGGACCCACGGACCTCCTGAGGGTGCGAACTGACGCGCAATTCGCATGGAAAAATTTGACCTCGGCGACCTATCATGCCTCAAAGCTGGCGGGTCCGGCGATCTCCGTAGTGTTGAGGAGGGCACAGCGATGAGAGTCGCATCAATGCTCGAATCAACGGGCAAGGAAGGGGTACCATTTCTCGGGTTCTGGGCCGTTTCTCATGGTTCTTCCTTCTTTCGTGTACCACTCACCATCCCCTACTTAAAGGCACAACCCAGGGCAGAGGTTTTTTATAACTCTTCTCTTCGGTCAGAAGTATAGAACCCTAGGGGACAATCACAAATGTGGCGTTCACGTGCACGGAATTCGACCGACAAGAACGCTTTGGGCTTGCAAAGTAAGCTGCTCGAGCTGCAGCGAACGAGCTCTCTTATCAGGCCGTTGTCTGGTGCTCTCTCATCTGATGCGCTCTCTCGCCCCATACTCTCCTCTTCGCGCTTAGTCTCTCGTTCCTTTAGCACAGCCAATTAGGAAGGTGAGTGAGCCCTCAACCTGAGCGTTTTCGACGGATTCTTTTCCTTTTTTCTTCACTGCCGGCCCACTTGGCACCGATACATTCACATTCGTGTGCAAGAGCCACACCAGTGCGATCCTGGGGCATGCCTTTAATTTGGAAATGGGTCCCGACGATCTTCTGTTTAAGGACTCTAAGAACGCTCTAAATAAGGTGAGAAATAAAACTCAGTGTTGCTCAGAAGATCCGCTACAACTCTGAAGGCGCGCGTTTCCTCCATTAGGTTTGTCTGCTTAATCTTTCATGTGAAATCAGGTAACTCCACGACCGCAGAGTGGTCTTTTCCACCCGAAACGCCAGGAAAGGGCACTAACTTGCAGCCAAAGATGCACCAAGCAGACACGAAGTTGACCTGATGACCTTTCCTCTTAATCCGTTCATTTCTGGATGTTTCACCGAATACCTCGAATGTTCCCTAAATGCCTTTCCCGTTTGAAGTTTTCGCCTTCAACTTACTAATAACGTGCAATTTCATTACTGAGCAAAGACAACCAGATATCCATAAAATATATTCTGTCGGTGGGAATTCTTCTCTTCCTGGTCCTCCTTCTCTGCCAACTAAAAACTTAGTGAAAATTTCCCGAATTTTCTTTTCTACCTTTATTAATTTATTCCTTTCAATACTCTGCGAACTTCTTTCGAATCTAAAAACATATAGCAGCGTTGACAGATGATCCATCACGTATATCTGCTTGAAACCCAATAAGTACCTCGTGTAAAATTGGAGTTTGCGCGGGGGTGGCGGTTGTTGAGGGCGACTCAACTATGCTGTCCACTACGAAGATAGGAATTGTAATGACAAGTAATCGACTTTCAAGCTGAAAACATTACTTTTCTGATGGTCTACCAGTTTTAATGTGGTTGGTACTCTGAATTGCTTTCACATATGGATCTCCAAGTGCCCAAGGAATTCTTCTGAACAAGGAGAAAGAATGACATCAGCCTAGTGGGGGGAAAAAGGCTCTGATGAGGATAACAGATTGCCAAAACAGGGTATTATTTGGGCAGGAGGTGTGGGAAGTAAGGCGCTCACCGTTCCTTAATCGAAGGTACTGTTCAATTGATTCTATTTCTTGTTGCCTTATCCTTGTGACAGGGAGTTCGAGTGAACCCTCTTCAATATCAATTTCACCAAATCACTCCTCTCCGAAACGATAGTGGTCTTCAGAGAGTATGTCAGTTCTGCGCAACCGTAGATACCGCTATAGCCTGTTAGCAGAGTTGTGCAGCGTTTTTTTGAGGCAGCAGTTACGAGAGTTTTTTGCGGTTTTATAGGTAGATGCGATTGGATTTGAGTGGGACAACCTCCAAATACCTGGAAATATGTAGTGATGGAATTGACAACAGGTAAACGAGAAAGTGATCGGTAAAAAAGAGTGCGCGGCAACTCCAAAGCCCTGGCTGAACACTTCAGGATAATAAATATTAATAAACCGGTGCTCAAATATACCTTATAAGAATATCGTAAGACTCAACTAAGTGATCTAAGAACAAGTCTTGAGGTCCGAACTTTGCGATTGCGTGGACATGCTCATCCATTTGAGAACCGCATACAACATTGGCAGCATTTTTTGATTTTGGAGTCATTCCATCCAGGTCATCTGTATAGCGTATATCTACAAACATTGAACACCTTACTAGAAAATTTCGTAGATTTTGAATTAATCATGGGATTTTGGCCGGTTATAAAGTAAATGCCACGTAAAGAATAAGAATTCCTCATATGGTTTTGTTTAGGGGGTGAAACTGTAGAGATCTATGAACTTCATAAAACAGGGTGTCCCATAAATACTGCACCAAATTTTGAGCTCAAATTTTGTAGGTGTTTATAGATTTTCTTCCGAAATTGATAGACTTCCTCAAATTCCACCTCTTGTTCTCTGCATCTCATGGTGCGCCTAAACTTCAACAGAGTCCCTAACCTCTCATACAGCTAGTCGGACATCCGGTGATGAGCATCGCGCTTCTTTGGATTTTCAACCGCTCCTTGGCCTACCGTGTACTAAAGAGAAGACCAATGGTTGCGGCCGCCCCACAAGTTCTGACATCTTGGATCTCAGGAAAAGCATGAAGAAGCGAAACGACTGCAATACCCGGGTTGGCTCGAGAAAGGTGACCAGAACGCTGGAGTTTCTAAACACAGCCATGTAGAGAGTGGTCAGATAACACATAAGTTGCATAAGCACCACTGCTCAATCCAACGGGAGGAGCACAGCAGAGACAAAAAGTTCAAAGAGCTGGTGTCGAGGGCCGAAAATGGCGATTACGCGGGCACCGTTTTCATCGACGACAAAATTCCTCACATGGAGCGGAGCTACAATCTTCAAACTCCGAGGATGCCCGCATGAGGTCTTGAGGAAGTCAGTGAGAGTGAAAGGAATATTCGCCACAAGCAGCAGCCGAACCTTATCATGGTCTGGACGGGGGTCTCAACTACCGGTCGCTCACCATCACTGCCTGTTTACAAAGGAATACAACTTGATACTAGACCGAGCCAAGGGACATTTCGGTGCACCATCTGTTACTGAGGTATCTAGCCACTTTGAGGAGGGGTGATGATCTTTTCAATAGGACCCAGCTTCTGCATAGGAGGCAAAAATTGTTCAGGAGCGCTGTTAAGGCACTCTTTCCGATTTCACATCCTCGAACGAATGGCTCTCCTATCCTTGATTTCAGCGTGCTGGACCATCCTATGTGGGCTATGTTAGGGGCAGAGCCTGCACTAAACATTGCATCCACATGGATGAGCCGGAGCCTTTTCTCTGCAAAGTTTCGAAGAGAACACCCCAGGATGCCATGCGGGCCACAGTAGAGTTGCGTTCGAAGCAATTGGGAGCCATACTCACAACAACAGGGGAGCATATCCAATGAATGTCATTCCTTTCAATATGTAAATGTATTGCTAAAATTTTTGTAAAACCTCTTGAAAATACATCCATTTTGAAAGAAGTTACAAGTAAAGAAAAGTGGTGCAATATTTATGGGACACCCTGTAATTTCACCCTGAACTTCGTTATGCCATATTTAGAAGTCTTGTCAGCGAATGAAATATTCTTATGCTAATTAACCATCAAAAA